ATATCTTAATTTTTAGTGCCCTTTAGCCCCAATAAGGAGTTTTTTGGGAATGCGTTAAAAAATTCTAGGTCCAAATTTAAAAGTTTTGAGGGCATAAAAATCTTAAAAGATGTCCTATGATAAAAGTGATTACATATTTTTCCTCGTCTCATTGAGAGAAAGAAAATGATATAAGGCACATTAAGATAGCTCCACAAATAAAAATTTCATCCCCAAAAAGGAATTATTTCAATGTGGAAATTAAGGTCACAAGAAGTTCCTTAAAATTAAAAAGGTTTTAGGGGTCAATTTTTTTGTTTGTTATCCTATATTGATGTTCTATATATCATTTTTTTTTGTCTTTTCAAGACGAGAAAGAATATGTAATCAGATTTTCTGTAGAGTATATAATAAAAATTTCAGCCCCTAAACTCCTTTAATTTGGACTTAGAAAATTTTCAGTGCGCTATTGAAAATGCTTTTTGGGGCTGATTTCTATAATTTTCCAACTATATAGATATACTTTACATATGATGTTCATCTTAAAAAGCAGAAATTGATTATACAAAAGATAATATAAAATCTTTATTTAAAGGGAGGTTTAGACCCTATGAGCATTTTTTAGAGTGTGAAAAAAAATTTTAAGTCCAATTTCAGAGTTTTAGGGGCATACAAATCTTAAAAGATGTCTTATGATAAAAGTTATTACATATTCTTCCTCGTCACATTGAGACAAAGAAAATGATATAAGGCACATTAAGATAGCTCCACAAATAAAAATTTCATCCCCAAAAAGGAATTATTTCAATGTGGAAATTAAGGTCACAAGAAGTTCCTTAAAATTAAAAAGGTTTTAGGGGTCATTTTTTTTGTTTGTTATCCTATATTGATGTTCTATATATCATTTTTTTCGTCTTTTCAAGACGAGAAAGAATATGTAATCAGATTTTCTGTAGAGTATATAATAAAAATTTCAGCCCCTAAACTCCTTTAATTTGGACTTAGAAAATTTTCAGTGCGCTATTGAAAATGCTTTTTGGGGCTGATTTCTATAATTTTCCACCTATATAGATATACTTTACATATGATGTTCATCTTAAAAAGCAGAAATTGATTATACAAAAGATAATATAAAATCTTTATTTAAAGGGAGGTTTAGACCCTATGAGTATTTTTTAGAGTGTGAAAAAAATTGTAAGTCCAATTTCAGAGTTTTAGGGGCATACAAATCTTAAAAGATGCCTTATGATAAAAGTTATTACATATTCTTCCTCGTCACATTGAGACAAAGAAAATGATATAAGGCACATTAAGATAGCTCCACAAATAAAAATTTCATCCCCAAAAAGGAATTATTTCAATGTGGAAATTAAGGTCACAAGAAGTTCCTTAAAATTAAAAAGGTTTTAGGGGTCATTTTTTTTTGTTTGTTATCCTATATTGATGTTCTATATATCATTTTTTTCGTCTTTTCAAGACGAGAAAGAATATGTAATCAGATTTTCTGTAGAGTATATAATAAAAATTTCAGCCCCTAAACTCCTTTAATTTGGACTTAGAAAATTTTCAGTGCGCTATTGAAAATGCTTTTTGGGGCTGATTTCTATAATTTTCCAACTATATAGATATACTTTACATATGATGTTCATCTTAAACAGCAGAAATTGATTATACAAAAGATAATATAAAATCTTTATTTAAAGGGAGGTTTAGACCCTATGAGCATTTTTTAGAGTGTGAAAAAAAATTGCAAGTCCAATTTCAGAGTTTTAGGGGCATACAAATCTTAAAAGATGTCTTATGATAAAAGTTATTACATATTCTTCCTTGTCACATTGAGACAAAGAAAATGATATAAGGCACATTAAGATAGCTCCACAAATAAAAATTTCATCCCCAAAAAGGAATTATTTCAATGTGGAAATTAAGGTCACAAGAAGTTCCTTAAAATTAAAAAGGTTTTAGGGGTCATTTTTTTTGTTTGTTATCCTATATTGATGTTCTATATATCATTTTTTTTCGTCTTTTCAAGACGAGAAAGAATATGTAATCAGATTTTCTGTAGAGTATATAATAAAAATTTCAGCCCCTAAACTCCTTTAATTTGGACTTAGAAAATTTCTTTAAGTCCAAAATTACAAGAAATAGCATTATTTAGTTTAATAAAATTTTCATTTTTTAAGATGCAAAAAATCTGATTAGATATTCTTTTTCTTCTCAACGAGACAAAGAAAATGATATAAAAAACATTTACCTAGCATAAAAAATAAAAGTTTAATACCCTTATGAGTATGTTTTTCATACGCGACAAAAATTTCGAAGTCCAAATAACAGTATTTAGTATATAAAATCTTTAATTTTTAAGATACAAACATTCTTTTTACATATTCTTTTATGTCTCAATGAGACAAAGAAAATGATATAAAGAACTTTTACCCAGCTTAGAAATTAAAAGTTTTACACCCTTATGAGTATGTTTTTCAAACTCGACAAAAATTTCAAAGTCCAAAAATACTGGAAATAACTGCATAACATTTTTATTTTTAAAGACACAATAAATCTTATTACATATAATTGTTTGTCTCAATGAGACAAAGAAAATGATATAAAGAACTTTTACCTAGCTTAGAAAATAAAAATTTTACATCCTTATGAGTATGTTCTTCAAACGCAACAAAAATTTCAAAGTCCAAATAACAGTATTTAGTATATAAAATCTTTAATTTTTAAGATACAAACATTCTTTTTACATATTCTTTTATGTCTCAATGAGACAAAGAAAATGATATAAAGAACTTTGTTGTAGGTCAATAAATAATATATTTTTTACCAAAGTGGGTACTCAGTACCCACTTTTTCAGTGGGTACTCAGTGCCCGTGGTGTTAATTTTAAAGGGTTTTTTGAATGATTTTTTTTATTTTCCAACTTACAAGAGATCTGATTAGATTTAATTGTTTGTCTTTCAAAGACGAAGAAAATGATACAAAAAACTTTTACCTAGCTTAAAAAATAAAAGTTTTTCATCCTTATGAGTATGTTTTTCATTCGCGACAAAATTTTCTAAGTCCAAAAATACTGGAAATAACTTCATAAAATTTTTATTTTTAAAGATACAATAACTTTTTTTATATATAATTGTTGGTCTCAATGAGACAAAGAAAATGGTATAAAGAACTTTGCACTAACTCAATAAATAAGAATTTTATAGCCAAAATACTTGTATGAATTTCACTCAGTGACTCGGCGTATGAATTTCACGGACTTTCCAACCCGACTTCCGGACGAACCGGACGTCCTACCGAAAAAAAAATTATATATCTGTAATCTACTCGTCCATACCTATCCAATGACACCTCACACATTACGATATGACGACTTTAAAAATTCCCGGATTTTCAGTCCCGACCCCCCCTACAGTCCGGAGGGGTGGGGCCAGAGTTTCCGAAAGTATCCCAAAATGTTTCCCTAGTCAAGTACTATTGCTCCACACTCCGAGTTGGGATCTGGGACCCCCCTAAACGCTGCAAACAGGAGGTGGGTACTCAGTACCCACCGTTTTCAAAAGTGGGTACTGAGTGCCCAGTAGAGGTGGGCACTGAGTACCCACTTTGGCCTAAAGTCAAGCTCTCAAATCATGACCCTCGGTGTAGGATTGGACCACATTGGGGATAGAGAGTTTTATATTGAGGCCATGATTAGTAACATTGACATGGAAGAGTCCTTCAAAATTCTTAAAAGCATGACCATCATAGCCCTTACAGAAAAAACCAATAGAAACTTATAAGTGTTTTATAATCCACTTATTAGAAGTTTATAAGTCACTTATAAATTCTGTAATTTACTAATAAGTGTACTGCAAGTCAAAGTAAGTATAATTGAGGAAGGGATTTCGTTAATACTTCACTTATAAGTAAAGATGAGCTACATATCAGTGAATAATTCACTTATACCTCGCTTATAAGTGAAGATCAGTATTGTATGAGCAAGAATAAGCGTGGACTTTGATTTGTTTCCCTGTAGTAGACTTCTCTCATGGAGCATTATGGGTATTCAAGGTAACCAATCAGAAAATTTGTCTCTGCAGAGATGAGCAACAAGAATTTGAAACTAGGTTAGTGTCAGTGAAAGGATGTTGTTGGAGATTTCAGATTTATTTTGAGTATGCCTTTATATCAGGTACAACAAGTAGGTTCTATTTACATCATCTTTTTATTTTAACTTCCTTTGCCTAAAATTTTGAATCAATTGACTCAGCTGCTTTCAGATCTCATAAATTTGAAAAAGACTTAAGGTCATTAAATCTTGTTGCCTTTTTGTCCAACGTTCTTGTTAGTAAACTGAATTAATATGTAAAGTTTGCATCATCAAAGAATGTACCTCATATGAAAGGGAATTTTTTCATAAAATGTTAACTTGATTATTTCATCTAAAGTGCAAATACATATGTAAATGTAAAAAAAAAAGGCTTTGAACATATCATGCAACCCCTGCATGATTGGAAGTTCTGTTCTAAATTAAGATCTTAAAAGTAGTGTTGTACTTACTTATAAGTGACTTATAGAAGACTAATACTTGATAAAGTATGAAGGGCTAATAAGAGGGTATGAAGACATCTTTAAAAAGCAAAGCATCTGAAGGGGGGGGGGTAACAATATACGTACAAAAGTTTTACATAAGAATATATGATAAAAAAAGTTCTGATGAAAAACAGCAGAGATATATTGACTCAGGTGAGTGTTAATGCCCATGGGCCTCTTGTTCACGATGTCGGCGTCAGTGTTCCAGAACAAGATTCAAGAACAAGTGTATTGGCTGACGTGGTCCACAGGTACTTGTGGACAGGACCCCCTTCTCATATTCAACCCCGGGGGGCTTCTCCACAAATACCTGTGTCGTGGTCATCGTACGTCGTCGTTTTTGTCTGCTATCTATGCTATCATATCTACAGACAATGCAAACACTTTATGGAATATTATGTCTAGCTAATTTTTTAACAAAAAAAGGAAAACAAAAGAACCCATGTCTTTGAGTATAAATCTTTATCATTGAGTCCACTCTGGAGTATAATTGTGAGTTTATTGAGTCTATCCGACAACAGGGGCCACAGACACGGGAGTGGTGAGTCCACATTTACTGCCGTCCACAGTCTGTAGAGAGGGGTTATCACAGCGGGCCTTAGACACGTGACAGCTGTAGGAAATAAAATATACAAACGTGATTATCACGTGAGAGCTGTAGGAAATAAAGTAAACAAACGTGATTATATCACGTGACAACTGTAGGAAATGAAACATGATAATCACGTGACAGCTGAGGTGTGATTAACACAGTTACACTGACCAAATATTCTATGATTATCACAGCGACAAGTGAGAATATTATATGCCTATAAAATAATTGTGCAACGAGTGAATCGGAGTGAGGCGGTGACATGTGACAAATGTAGAAAATAAATGAGGTCACACTATGAGATCCGCCATTTATAAGTATACACCACCGCGGTGTTCATTATACACGGGTTCTAACCTGCTATTGTAGACAACGCCATCAGAACCACATAGTGGAGTCACCACGGTAGGGCAGTTAATGGAGTCCTTATTTTTACAGAAAATGTTCTGGAAGGCGATGGCCTCCGGGCTCTGAGTGGTCGTCGGTGGCATTGTGGATTGAGTGACGGCGCCTGAGCTCCCGACTACTGGTACTGTGGTGGCTGCCGTTCCGGCGGGAGTGGTGGCGCCCGCGGTGGTTGACGTACATGGACCGGTATGGGCAACACTCAGATTCTCGTACATACAGGCGGCGTGCACATACTTACAACTGCAAAAATGAAACATACGACATTGTTAAGTAAATACTAGCTATAGAGTAAGACATACTTTAAAGTACATATAGTTTTGATACGTCCTATTATCCTAGCCTTCCGAGCAGGTGATTTATATTATAGTTGCAAATCCTTTTTTAAGGATTCGTATGTTTGTAGGTTTGTAGCAGTTTGTAGGTTTGTAGCAGCATTATAGCTTTATCTGGCCGAATTCTCTCATGCAGAGAGCTACAGTTCTGCAGCTATAGGAGCATGTATGCCTTAAATGCTATATTTTTAGTTCTTCGAAAATCTGAATGTCTGCATCTGGTAATAAAGCAGACAAACTAGGGTGTTTCTTTCAAAATTTTGCAATTTGTGGCCCCAGAGGCAGGGGCTCAATATGGGGAGGGGGTGGACTCTATTGATAATGACATTTTTAACGGACTTAATGCAGTTATATGTATGATAAACAAGAGTGTCTCTTCCAAAATTGTGATTTTCAGGGACTCATGTGATAGGGTTGTGATCTATTAATTCATGTAATTATTCAATGTATATTGTGAAGATGCATTCATGTTTGAAAATATTTTTTTCTGCTTGTATGCCTCTCGGAGGCAAACAGAGTACAAAGTATTGCCCATATGATTTTGAAAACGCACTTAGTTTCTGAAATGATTTTTTGCATGTTTTGTTCGTAAAACTTGCTTTTTACATAACTGATCATGGTCCCAAACACTCTTATTACCGCTTTATAATTGTCACATGGCGGATCATAATCCCACAATATGTCTTTGATTTCCTGTTTTGTACCTGACTATTATTGTCACATACTGCTCTTGGTCCCAAGAGTCTTAACCCTTTATCATGTTTATAATTGTCACATGTTGATCTTGGTCCCACAAAGTCTTAACCCTTTATAATTGTCACATGCTGATCTTGGTCCCACAAAGTCTTGAATACACTTTTTACCCCTTTAATATTTTAACGGTGTGACAGTTGGGGCGAGCGCAGTTGTACCTTCAAATATACACCTGAGAAGTTGATCCACCACTTCAAACGTTAAATCGCACGAGACATCTAGACTGTGACGTCACACGAGAGCTCGTCAGGGTTTACGGAAACAATTTCGTCTATTTGAAATCGTCTGTTTGAAACTATAGACCTAGTGCAATTTTTGTCGAAATACATTGCAGTTATTTTTTGTTTCTTTTGAAGATTTCTACAAACTGAAAGCCTTAATGTTATGCTTTACGTTATTATTTATTTATTTATTCGCACAAAGGACATTGAGTAGTAAAAGAAATTTTGGGAAGGTTTCACAACAAAATATGCCTCATGTACAGATTTCATCCCGAATTTCCTCTCTTCTTACACGTTAGTCTATTGAGGTCGCTTCGCGAGCGTCACTCGCTGCGCTTGCTGTAATTTTCAATAGCCTGGTCCCCCTGTCTCATCCTTGCCAAGGCACGCGGAAGCTGTGCCTTGTGTAGCTTACAGTTTAAAGATAACTATACATAATTGTAATACTTCACCTTTTTTTCTGACGGAAAAGCCCGATTCATTATCTGATTGTTCTAAATTAAGACAATGGAGTTTTTTTTACGTCTAAGCACAACTAAAGATAGACTCTAATAGATTGGTCAATTAAGCCAATCTTACAAATTCCAGAAACAACTTAACAAGAGTTAATTTACACTAAAAATAATGAATAAATCCATTATTCTAATGCAATTGTTTTGTAAAACACTCTGTGATTGGCTAATGCACTGAATAAATCCATTACGCGTCGCCGGTAAAACTCAGTTTGCGACCGTTAAATCAGCATTAACGGTCGCAAATACCAAATTAGAAGATAGTTATTCCCTAATTTATAAAAAAAAATCTGATGTGTATGGCTTTTAACCTAACAGTTCTTGACAAAGATGACCCAAAGGACCAAGCTACTTCACATCTTCACATTCGGATCTCCCTGGATTTCTTTATACAATATAAACTTTGAGTTATTTTCTATATTCATTTTAACTCCGCTGTATCTTCCTTGCTACATAGCCAAAAAATTCTGTTCTGAAACCAGCTCATACAATGCCTAAATCGGCATTTTCTCCATGTTATATAGAGTCTCTCCCCCTCTCCAGTAAAGGTCTGAAATGTTCCATTGGGCCAAAACTCCAATAGGTCAACACAAAATTTACTAATGTGTCTATAAAGTACACTTCACAAAACAATTATAACTTTATCACACTGCAGCCTCGATAAACATTTAAAAATAAATCACTTGATCACGGACCTTCCTTTCTGTATTTTTTGCTACGACTCACCTATCTTTTTTAAAAGATAAACTTCTACACCGTTATCATGTTTATAATTTCCAGATACTAAACTTGGTCCCACAAATTTTTTTATTAACCCTTTGAACTCTTTTTATCACTTACTGATTAGAGTAGGTAACCCCGTCACTTCCGCACACCATTTCGTCGCCATTAGTAGTATGATACTGGCAGTCTACTAACAGGAGATCTAGACACTGGTGTCTGCCGAAGTGGGCGTCCAGTCCCTGTATCTCGGAGTCTATGTGAGTCTGAGAGTCGGGTTGGTAGTTATTATGCCCACCTCCATGGCCGTGCTGAGCACCTGTCATATAAAATCAAAGGACTGAAAGTCGTGAAAAATCAAAGTATTCGTGCAAAATCGAAGTACTGAAAGTACTCGACGAGAAATAAGGTAATTGTACGAAATAGTTTAAGCAGAGGGGAACTATATTGGAGTTCGGGAACTTAAGTTTAAAAAGAATCTCCTCGATGAATTTTATAAAATGACAGATTGCTTGAGTTAAATGGGATATTGACCAAAATTAAATCACCGCCAACCTCTGAAAATAATATTCATGAACTATTTGGCTATAATGAAAAGTATTACGGCTCAAATTCATAAACCATTACAAATTAGGAGCAGAGAAAACACTGATCTCTAAAACATCAGAGGTGGGATCGGGTGCCATGGAGGAGTGAGCATCCCCTGCCGACCGGTCACACCCGCCGTATGCTCCTTGTTATAAAGCATCTTTTATATGAATTTTATGTTGTCATGACTTACAACCGCTTCACCTTGCTAAATTAAATAGCCTTTCCTGTTTCTTATCATTTGTAAAAATGACAGAAATTCGGTCTAACAACGTAATCGAAATGCAAGAGATTCCATTTGCTTGGTTCTAAATCCAAGAATATCAATATTAATAACTGTTAAAATATTTGAATGGAAAAAATGTCTAGAATATCCTACATGTGTTTTGAGAGACGGGTCATATCATCTTGGAGCCAACTGACCTAAGTTGATAAAAAAAAAAAAATTAGTAGCAATTGATTTGCTCGAAACTTTGAAGTGATAGTTGTGGGTCATTTGAAAGAGACTTAATAACATAAACCTCGTGTCACGGTGGACGTTGGCACGATAAAGATCCTCCTTGTCCAATGGCCGTAACTTCTGAGTAAATACAAAATTCAAAATTTGAAGCCCTTCAGCGGTATATGATGACGTCTTTATATGAGTGAAATAATCTCGAATGAGACGCCAAACAACATACACTTAATCAGTCATATTTTGAATTTAAATGTACGAACAACCTTCAACGTTGGCTGGTATATATTATATTTGATTTCACGTTAATCACTGTTTTAATTTATTTACAATCACTGTGATTTCGTGAAATCAAATTTAGTATGTTACATTTACTGCTCCCCTGTGGGTTGCGTCACCAAATCATGCAACTTGAATCTTTCTCAGATATTTTAAACAAAGAATTGAAAAAAATTAAAAAGAACAATATTAGATAGGGAAATTTCATTGCAATTTTTGACAAGCATGGTCATACGTGGTATTACTGCTAAAAACCGTTTCTATTTGGTGAAACAAAAGTAAAACCATGGTCTCACAAAAAGGACTTGAACTGTCAGAAAAATGACGCAAGATCTGATATTGTTTAAAGGTACTTACTGACGAATCCAATATCAAGAATGGCATGCAACTTTGTACAAAGAAGGCCATACTAAGTTTTAATGCTGAAAGCCTTCTAATGTGTCTTATGGAAGCAAAACGATTGCTAAAAAAAGCTTCCCGCCGTCGATTTGAATGAAAAAAAAGCAGATTAACAGGTATATTTACTTACTGACGAATCCAATAGCGAGAAAGACAATGATTAACTCCATAGCTGTATAAGTTTAGACTGAGGAACTCTGGTCTAGATATCAGACTGCTATGTATCTCTTATCACTCCACAAGGACGGCGCGTGAGTTAAAGACATTCTCTTTTTATCGTACAATGACAAAGATCTCTGTCAAAACCAGTTTTTCTTGCTATTTGTTTGAAATATAATTACTTATTGTATGTATGAACAATAACAAATCTAGAATCCTTTATATATTGTTCATATTATAATGAAAGCACAAGAACGTCAACAAAATGTAGAATTCAAAGGTTGGAATTATATATAAATGCACAGGCTTAACTGTCTCGTTGTGCGTATTTGTAACCATAGAATTAAATCACGTGTTTTTTTTTAACCAACATGTTTATAACATAGAACAAAATGAAGAAAAAAAATACGTCTGATTATTGATAAGGGAAATTTATGATTCAGAAGAAATCAAATTGCATTAAGAATTTACACAAATGAAAAAAAAAAACAAGTTTCTGTGGGAAAAATCTGAGAGCTTTAATATCAAATTATACAGGAGCATCATAACACAGAGCATTAATTCCCCAAAAAATCAAGGCAGCGTTCGACATCAATCCCGATATAAAATCACGTCATTTCCATTTCGCACAGGATATTACCCACAGACAAACACACAAACAAGTACGTTACTATTAATATGTTGGAGGGGATGATAATTTACGTAGACCAATCTACGCGTACTGACATCTCTGAAGTATTTGATATTTATACAATTATTTGTATATTATTTATTTGATATAACAATTTATCTTTATTCATACATTAAAACCTAGTTATTTCGAGCTCAATGGGAATAGAGATTCCCGTGACTTTGGGATACCGAGGTTAAAAACAAAATTCAACAAATGAATTTTGACTTCCAAAGCACTTAGAATTATCCCTTGTATTAGAAATGCGGAGTACAAGTGCCAATATTTACATTTCCATTAAATTTCCTCTATGATTCTTTACAAAATAAAATGCAGTATATTTTTTCATGAACTACATTAGGTATGTACCACGAATAAGCATGAATGTCTCCATTGTTACGTCATAATACTGCTCTTGACGTCCAAAAGTCAAAAAATATAGTGCACTGTGGCAACGCACTTTGAAAAAATTACGCGCTTTGAAAAAATTTTTCAAAGTGCGTTAAAATTGGGACAAAAACAACGCACTTTGAAAAAATTTTTCAAAGTGCTTAAATTTTGGACCAATTCAACGCACTTTGAATTTTTTTTTCAAAGTGCATTAAGAGTCTACATCAATATGTATTATCAAGGTGACACTTAACGCACTTTGAAAAAAAAATCATATTTTAGTAATAGGAAGATTTTATTTGTTATTTATCTTTCAAAAAACTAACCTTAACCCTAACCTCAAAAGAGAATTAATTTACTCCCGTCGAAAAGAGGAGAACACGGGTATAAGATCCCTAGCCTCAGTCCAAATCTTTATCTTTCCAATACATAGGTGTTGGTGACAAACGGGGGAGGCGAGCAATAAACCCAAAAGATGTAAGTTGCATTTTCAATGCTCAATTGATGTATATATATTTCCAAAATAATGGGGGGCTTAGCCCCCCCCCCTCCCCTGGCCCTTCGCCCGGTTTCGATGTCTATGCTATACTCAAAGCATTCATATAATTATGTATTTACCTAACTGGTATGACGTTGAAAACTTTCAATATTAAATGAGTTAATTGAAACAGATGAAAACTAGAAATTTTTAAGTACAGTAAAACGTATGAGAGAGAAATTTTTTTTATATAGTTTTGAACAATCAAATTGCCCCCTTTTTATGGTAAATGCTAAATTGCTTGAAGCTGTCCACTGTTAGTGCCCCCTTTACACCTTTAAATCTATTTATCAAAGACTAAAATTTAAAAAAAAAACGAATTAATGATCTTAATCAATCGTCACTCTTTTTTCAAGACCCTTTTCCCTTTTATTTTATCAAAACCTCAAATATTTAAAAGGTCAAAATCTCAGGTCCTGTTGTGACTTTATCATAAAAAAGTTATCCAACCAAGATCTGTTATTTATCATACCGATTATTTTCTTGGAATATTGACAAATCTTTACATTTTTTTTTCAAAGTGCGTTAATATGGTCGATATTAACGCACTTTGAAAAAAAAAAATTTTTTTTCATAGTGCGTAAGCTTGGTCCCAAATTTAACGCACTTTGAAAAAAAATTTTCAAAGTGCGTAATTTTTCAAAGTGCGTTGTAACAGTGCACTCTGTTTTGTTTTAAAAATGACAGTTACCCCGTGGGGATCCGGGTTAAAATAGGTCCTCAGTACCCCCTTGCTTGTCGTAAAAGGCGACTAAATGGGGCGGTCCTTCGGATGAGGCCGTATAAACCGAGGCCCCACGTCAAATCAGATGTGGCACGATAAAGATCCCTCCCTGCTCAAAGGCCGTAAGTGCCGAGCACAGGCCTAAATTTGCAGCCCTTCAACGGCAATGGTGACGTTTCCATATCTGTGAAATATTCTGGAGAGGGATGTTAAACAGTATACAATCAATCAATAAAAATGAAAGTTGAACGGCTTAAATTTATGGCAAGTCGTCAGAGAAATAATGTAAATATAGGAAATGAATTTAATTTTTTGAAGATATATGAGGTATATGACCTACAACTCTTCAACCGGCGTATTTATCATGAAGCGCTAACGCTTAAGAAATTCATTTCTTAATTATTTTATTATTATTTTTTAAGAAATATAGCTCTGTTAAAATTTGCACCATCGTACCCAAAATTAGAACCTGGCCTAGATATCCTTTTGATATTTTTATTTAAACATTTTCTTTTTAGCTCACCTGAGCTAAAAGTTCAAGCTTAATTGAGCTTTTTTGATCACCCATTCTTTGTCCTCCGTCTGTCCCTCCGTCAGAAAACGTTTGAACTTTTTCACCTTCTTTTCAAGGACTACTGAGCTGATTTAAACCAAACTTGGTAGATAGCATCATTGGGTGAAGATAAATTCAAATTATCAAATGTAGGGTATTAGAGATGTGGAGTTCAAGTGCGACTACTTTTTTATTTTCCAAGAGCATATTTCTGCCAAGAAAAAAAAATTGCTCGATCGTACCCAAAATAGAACATGGCCTAAATATTCTTTGATACATTTGTATAACATTTTCTTTTAGTCCACCTGAGCTGAGAGCTCAAATGAGCTTTTCTGATCACCCGTCTATCTGTCCCTTCGTCTATAAACTTTTCAACATTTTAACCCTTTTATCAAGGATCATGCACTGAGCTCATTTAATCCAAACTTAGTACATAGCATCAATGGGTGAAGAGAAATTTAAATTGTTAAAATGAAGGGTCGGGTCAACTTCCAAGGGAATATAATAAAAAAGACAAAACTAAGGTGTGGTCATTAAAATATCTTCTACAGATCCACTGGACCAGAAAAATTGAAAATTATGTGGAAACATCGTCGGGTAGTGTATAGATTCTAAATTGTTCAAACATGACACTTGGTGTGGGCGGGGTCACAATATAAAATTAAAGTTTCACATTGAAAAATATTGGAAAAATCTTTTAAAATCTTCTGCTCAAGAACCACTGGGCCAGGAAAGCTGGAACTTATATGGAGGAATTTCGGATACTGTAAATTCTAAATTCTTCAAGTCATTTGTTTTAAATAAATTAATGAATTTTATCATTGTGAATCACTTAAATAGATCCATCTTCTAAAGCTGCTGTTGAAGAGACAGTGGGGGACAAATTCTCAAACTTCAGCGAAGAAGATTTATTGAGAAGTTGAATATCTTTTTGCTTGTAGAGTTGTGTATTCAGTCATGTAGTTAGAAATTAACCTTGAAATGAAACATATGGATATAAGGAACAGTATTCAAGCTCAGTACTTTAATAAACAATACAAAAAAGAGCAAAAAAATCAGGGGTAGAACCAGGTGCCAAGAACAGATGAAAGAAATAGTTTTTATATGCTCTTTATTTTTCTACAAAATACATAAACTAATAACAAACAAGCAAGCAACATTTTACTACTGTATACAGGGTTATTTTCGCCCCGTGTTATTTTCGCCCTTTCACACTGTAAAACAAATTTGCCCCGTTTTAATTTCGCCCAAATGTAGTTTTGTTTAAGAAATTATACTAAATTTTTTGATTTCACCCCGTTTTAAATTTGCCCTTATGAAGGTAGTGCGAAAGGGGCGAAAATAAAACGGGGGCGAAAATTTCCCTGTATACAGTATATAGGTACAATGATATCAATCTAAATCATTAAAGACCCAATATTTCACAAATCATAAAACTGTGGAAAATATCATCTACGCAATACAAATGATAGAAATCATATGTTCATTTTTTTAACATTTATTTATTTTTTTTTTTTTGCAAAGATGGTTTACCTTTCAATTATAACATTTAAATAGATAGTAAATTAATACAATAAGATCAGAGATGATAATTTTATTTCCCCTAAAGGTCATTGTCAGGATCAATTAAACATGTCTCAGTTACAAATTAAGTAATTAACTTTTTATGACCTTTGGAGTATAAATTTCTTCTTTAAAATAAATAAAAGTTCAGAAAAAAAATGTTCTTTGTTAAGCACATCTAAGCTGGATACAAAGGCTAAATATATTACGTTAAAATCACATATTTTCGTGGAGTTAATTTTTCGTTGTTTGAGTAAAAATCTTTATTTGTGGGGATTTAAATTCATGGATGAAGAATTGTTGAGTAGTTATGTATGTAACGTTTTACATTTCGTGCTGGATATGAATTCGTTGGTCTCTTCATACCCCAAAAACAACGAAAATTAAACCCCCAAGAAAATCTGTGATTTCACCGTATATTAATTGAAGAAAAATACAAGTGTTCAAACCATCTAATTATCTCTCATACAAACCACGTACAACATAATGACGAGATGTCTTTGTAAAATAATTTATATATAGATAATTCTACTTTGTTAGAAAATAGTTACAGAATGATTCAACGTATAATTAATAATTGTTGTCTATAGTATGTATTTTCCGTAAATAATTTTTTTTGTTTTTTGTTTGTTGTTTTTTTTTTTTTTTGTTTTTGTTTTTTTGTTTTTTTTTTTTTTGTTAAACGCCTCATGTCGAGAAATGCATTCAAATGTAGATATCACCTTTTGTTGGTGAAGGACTGCACATTCTGTCCTATTCTTGCCACTTTAACCATTGTGGCGGATCTTTTTACGTTTAGCACTTACTACGACAGGAGGTTATATCCATGAATTTCAATTTACCCTTCCTAAATATCATAATATAAGAAAGAAATATACAGTGGAATCTGTCTGAGCCGACACCTGAATAATCCGACACACAATGAATTCCGACGTAAAATTTCTTTCCCAGTTTTTTGATTTTCCATGTTCTAACACTGTTAAATCCGACACCTCGTCTATTCCGACATAAATTTTGTCTCCCAGTATATGTCGAATTAAACAGGTTCACTGTATGAACTTGCATCCATAGACTGCAAGTTATCACATGCCCATTCACACGCACAATCAACGTTACTCAAGGTCTTAAGAGTCTAAGTATTATGGAAGGCGGTTGCAAGTAAAAAAAAAAAAACCCTTTCAAAACGCTTTGCATATATTTGGATTTTTCAATCTATTTATCGTCCAACATAGAGAAAAATAAATCCCTATGTTTACCGGGGGGGGGGGGGGGGCGGGGGGAGGGGGGTCACATGCTGGTGAACAGAACATAGTATTTTTCGTATATTGTTGCATCCCAGCTAATCAGAGAGATGGGAAATAATAAAAAAGAATAATTTTGAAAATTTAAATATCTACTGATCATCAATCAGCTTTTGTTATTCAAATAGCCAGTATTCTTGTATCTTTGCTAAACATATCAATGCACGAACAAAATACATGTACTACAATTCACTGACAGTTTTAAAAACGTACACCTAAACTCGGAGAAAAAAAAATGGAGAAAATCTATAATAATGGTGCCATAAAATAATACAGTCATAAAAACTCTAGTGGAACAAAGATATTTTATTTAAAGCTACATGTAAAATGTTTACACTGAAAAGAATCCCCAAAACCAAACATCTTTGATTTGACATATCCAAGGAAAAAAATATACTAGCAGCTGCAATTTATATCAGAAAGCGTTGTTTTTACATTTTGCATTCTAACATACCTTAAACTTTATGTAAACGAATGGTTTCCCTGTCCCAAAATAGTTAGATACAAATAGTATGTTTACTTGCTTCCATAAATTGCAATGACATGTAGTGTTCTCATATTCATATTATTGCAATTAATTTTGAGGTCGATACAATGTTTTTAAAATTTGATACCCGAGGAGTACAATTTTCACCGAGACCAAAGGTCAAGATGATTATTGTACTTAGAAGGTTGGTAAATCATCGTATAAACGGTAACCAGAAAAAAGCAATATCTTTTTTTTGTTCTATGTTTCAAATATTAAATATTATACAGAATTATGTTTATATTTATTTACAAGATGATGAAAGACGGATATGGAGATAACGAACAGTATTCAATATCAAAATCCTTAAAACAATATTTATAGAGATTAGGAGCAGAGCAAACACGGACCTCCGAAACATTAGATGTAGGATCGGTTGCCATGGAGGAGTGAGCATCCTCTGTTGACTGGTCATACCCGCCGTGTGCTCCTTGTCATGATCGGGGAATAACGATATGCACCTTTCTTTGGGTTTACAAAAATTGACAAAATTATGACGACTTTTATCTCTGGTTTTCATTCTGAAAGATTAGAGATTAAATTAATTACTAGTAGTCTGTTTAATGTAACGTGTGTTTTCTCGTACTGATAAAGTAGTTTAGGGGATTTTCTTTATTTATATTTTATATCGATTTTTGAAGAAAAAACTTCCCTATTCTGTTTTAAAATTATATAGATTCTCCCACTTATCTTTATGTCTCATACTTATCATAGGACATCACAATTACAAATAGGATTTGTAAGCATAATTGTTTTTTAAAAGAAAAAGCAGGCCATACATTGTCTTAGCTGTTTACAATTTAGCATTACTGTTGCTTTTCAGAAAATTATTTTCATATCTAGATAAAATCGATATGCTTTTTATAATATATAAATAGTTACTCAAGTGTATATAATGTTATATACACTAGTTGATTATGTAATTAAGATTACTCCAATCCGAGAGTTTGGAATATATGACAAAAATATAAAAAAAAATATAGTCACAAAAGCACTTTTGTAAGACGTCATATATCATAACATTTCATTCTACTACTATTTTCTATAGGAATAAACTATAGTACGAATTATTCAAAGCAGACTATTGTGGAACTCTTCAACATGGGAGGTGTAAATGAATGTAAAAAAATATCAAAAATTCCAACAACCTCTTCGTCCTGACAAGAAACAAGAGAAAAAAAAAATCAAATATCACACATCGCGGAACAAATCCTTTTCCAGGTTTGGTATAAAGGATTTAAGTAAAGACCTGACTTTTTTCATGGAGATTCCAGACTCGACCAGCAGATCAAGACGTTTCAAGCGTCCATTAAAATAATTATAAAATACACCGGGGTGTCCACATAGAAGCATCCCGTACACTTTTGGGCTTCCATTACATACGATAATGAGTGGGGCACCGGACGCACCATGAGCTGTGCTACAGGAGCTATGAAATAAAATTTTGTCTTTAGAGATAACACACGGGGAATAAGATTCCTCTATATCCTTTTCTTCCAAACTTTTACATTCTTTTTTAAAGAAAGCAATTCCTTCTTTTTTTAATTCAGAAAGATCTGTATCCTCCTTAAGGATTGTACATGCAGGGTCATGTTGAAGCGGTTTTCCACTTGGGTGACCAAACACGTGGAGCTTTTCGTTACAAGCATTATCTTCCACTAGACCAAGACATTTCAACTCAAACTTGTGGTCTTCAAGCTCTAAGACTAACACATCATATTCTGGAGATGCAAACGCTATATCAGGTTTGAATTTGACAATTCTTCCTACATCTACTTCCTTTAAAAATTCAAATTTGATTTCATATAGCCCAGTTACTAAATTCACCAGTTCCATGATTTTGCCTGAAAAAAAGACAAAGAAAATTAAATACTGAAATCGATACCCTACTCATTCTAAATTAGCAGGATCCATGTATTTGGATTTTCCTACCATAAAATTTTGATATGAAGACTTTCTTTGCAACTAAACAAACAAGAACCCCTCTTAAGGGGGATGTACAAGCCAATTGGATCTAGTCTGGTATGAAATAAGAAATGCCAAGAATGCGCTTAATACTCGTCTAAACGAGCCCAAAGTTACTCAAAGTGTTAATGCACTAGTTACCTACTGTTAGAGACCAAAATTAGTAAATAATTAAGTTTATTTTGTTTTAATTAGGAGGAAATTAATCATGGTAGAACTGCGCAGCTACAGCATTCACGAGATGAAAAATGCATTGAAAATGGCGTTAGTTTGATTCATTTATAATATGGCTACAACCATTTGTTTCGCTTTTTTCTTGTCATTATCTAAAATTCTTGAAAATTTGATTTTTCATATGTGTGTCTTCCTGAGGCCATATGTTTATTTCGCCCGCCATTCCTCTGTCACACAGAGTTCGAATTACATTGATTTTAGAATAAATGCGACCATAATAACATCAAGACAAGAAATTAATAAGTTATAATCATTAGGTATATTACTTACTACTTTTATTTGTTGCATCGCTTCGTCTGATTAATGAAAAAACGCTATTTTAACCCCACTAGAGCAAATCGGGAAAAACTGTTCTGTTCGCAGCTCGAGTTTCCTAGGTAATATTATTACACTGAGCACGTGGTTGGCATGTGCATATATCTGCTGTGGATAGATGCGTTGATTACCATGATTATATTTAATTTTTCGCGGAACAAGTCTTGATAATTTGTTGGTTTCTTTAAAACTCAAGAAAAAAGCTAAAAAATGCCCTAAACATATGTGTTTACGTCGGGTCTTTTTTCTGTGGCGATAGAAGTTATTTTGAAATGGGGCACTGCAAGGAGGATGCTTAGCATTTAATTTGAAAATGTTAAACAATATCCGGTGCATGAAAAACAAATTGCAATTGCATGTCTTACATTCGAAAAGTTGGTACATATGTCTATTTTGTTTAGCAGTTAGATAGAAAAAATAGGCTGTTAAAGGATTTCCTTCAGGCACCCCACGTAAATAACTTGATGAGCTGAACTTGATTGTTTGCAATGACCAACACATTGTATGGAGTAATGTTTGGACATAAAAGCGCATCATGTCTCATTATGTTGACTACGTTATAAGCTCTCGCTTATTGAACATACGAAGCTTGATAAAATATATTGAGTTGTTTCTTTGAAATTTAGAAGCAATCACAATGTTTGCAAACAAAGGTCCATTGCATATGCTATGTCTATCATCGCAAAAAAAAATGAGAGAATACCCCCCCCCCCCCTTTCCGAAAATCCTATGTTCTTTTTTCAAAATAGTGCCAAAGATTTAAAAAATCTTGCATTACTAAGTATGTGATGGAACATGTACTAGCCTTATATGACCATTTGTTATAAAAATATTTGGTTGTCCTCTCTCCCGATCTACTGCCTAGAAATGGCCCGACTCAATTTTATTTTACATCCAATTACAGGATTTTTTTTTCTTCCGTCAACAAATATGTTTAAATTTCTATAAATACGGACCCAATAATTTTCCCTGAGTTGGGAGGTCCACCTAACGTCATTTTAAAGATGGTATAAAATATTTAATTATATGTTGATTTTTTTCTTTACTCTGTAAAATTGTAATTTTGACAAAATGGGCAAATAGAAAAAATAATTTTATTCATTAAATCTCCTAACCCACTCTGAATGATTTTATTCCTTTTCAAATGTTGCTCCACTGTAATGAAAATTGTAAATGTTTATTTGACAGAGTATACGGGGGGGGGGGGGGTGATCAAAAGTAAACGATATCTTAGGTATTTGATAGTTATATTATTGTTGAAATAATAAAGTATTTTTCTAAAATCTGAAAGTCTAAATTGGAGATGTTTGATAGCATATTGCTTAATTGAAAACAGACCCCTTTTCAAACTTGCTTTCACCGGGCAACATAACAAGTATCATATTCAACCATCTGCCTTCCTTCACTAAAACGATCTATCCAATCATTGATTGAATTAGTAGGAAGTCATTTGTCTTAATAAACTATGAACAAATTCTTATACAAAAGTACGTTACTTCAAAGGCATTTTTAAGATATACCATAAATATTTTAGTCGTTTGTTGAATGAGTTCCACTGAGACAACCATTTTTCGTCACAAGTACATGCATGATGACTTCATTTTCACATTGTGAGCAATACTTTATTCAGCATATGCTATTTATGGAACTTGAGTGTGTACCAAATTTGTTTCTAATCTAAATTGTGGTTTTGTATAGATATAGAGATAGTTCGAGATTTTTTTGATCACCCCTCGTATTAGTTGATACTAACACAAGGTTTTTCATATCGATTTTATGTGGTTAATTTCTTTGTGTTTCATCGGTGATAATAAAACTTTTGATAGATATATTATAAGTTATCTGTGGCAAACTTACAAACTCTTAATTTTAAACTTTGATGGTGCTCATTTTTCCTTACCCGGAATCAAAGAGTTTATTCAATACGTACACTATTTAACAACTGTTCGATAATAATACTAAATAAATTACTTCAAGCCACACTATAACACAATTCCTCTTTTAAAAGTGTTCATATTATTTGAAATATTTGGAACTGTAATTCTCTTCTACATTTAAAGATTGTTATGTCCCTCCATATTAAGACGAGGTCTGGAAAACAAAATTATGTGCTAAAAATAGACCACGTGCTGCTATCAATGAACTACTTTCAGTGTTCTTTACACTCTTTTTGAAGACAACGATACCTTGTTTTGAACTTAAAATTATCATTTAAAAGTGCAAAATTTAGACATTTTCTCAACAAATGGTTGTAGAGAGAACATTAATGAACAGTTTGCGTATTTTTTTGGATTTTTTAAGGCTCTGCTGAATTCTGTAGCTGCGCAGTTCTAAGGAGCATATCAAAAGCATTTTTCTGCAAAAGTACAGATTATATATGCACAACATGCATTCATTTATGCATATTTATTGTATCTTTATCATAAAGGTTTAAAATTTGATCAAAATATAATGTACTTTAGCATTTGAAGAAATGTTTACATTTTGTTCTCACTGCACTTTAAAAGGTGGCCGTACATCCCCCTTAAATTCATAAGATATATTTCATGTTGTTAATCTCTCTTTCCAGATCTTTTTATCCAAAAAGGGCCTTATCTACAACGATACTTGCTACGCGAGAAAATTAGGCACTGATGACTACATAGGCAATATAGCCACATATGATCCACATATGCATTGTCTTTTATATAAGGGTCATATGTGGATCATATATGAATCATATGTAAATACAATCATATGAGAATCATATGTGGCAAATCATATGAGAATCATATGAATACACATATGTAAGTCATATGCAGTAATTTATGATTCTCATATGAAAGGCCCTGCATATGAAAATCATATGAATATTTTGACGGTGGTCACATGAGAATCATTTGAAACTGATCATATGAGAATCATATGAAAGTTTTCACTCATTTACCCTTGTTATACTCAAGTAAAATTGCAATTTCAATAATATATATGTCAAGATAAATTTAAATGTACATTTATTCAAAAGAATATTTTAGTAATTATATGTAAAGTTCTACTCTGTTCACCCCCCTTCCTTTCCCTTTTTGTCTTTTATCGGATAAAATTATACGTCATTTTCAATGCTACAGCAGACGTGTTGGGTGTTTGGAAAATGCAAGTGATCATTTAACAATATTATTTTAAGACTTTTGATAAATAATGGTTAAGTATTATTTTATGATAGTTACAAGTGCGTATAAACTTTCTTTATACAGTAAAACTCGGTTAGTATGAACACGGATGAAACGAATTACGGATAAAGCAAGCGTAGCAGTAACTACGTTATAACCGAGTGATACTCTTATCACTTGCAGAATGCATGTAATTGTTAGAAATCAATGCATTTCGTAAAGCTTACATTAATAATTTTGGATAAATTTGTTTCTGAATGAATGAGAAACATTACTGTTATGTTAGGCTTAAGGCATTAATATTTTATAACAGGATGTATTCACTTTGACAAAAGAATTGACGCTTTACGAGAAGACAATTTCCCGGAAAAAAGTGACATTTAAAAATTTATATTTATTTGTTGTTTTCTACTATATATATATATATATATATATATATATATATATATATATATATATATATATATATATATATATATATATATATATATATATATGTGTGTGTGTGTGTCTATTTCTTTTTTAAATTTGTAATTTATACCTAATATTTATTATTTACTACTTTACAATAAAACTCCAAAGTTGGTCAAAACACCATTTTGTCCGTCAACGCATTGATTTTTGCATGTATTTTGGCCTAGAAGTCCTTCAGGGCAGGCCTGCCCCTAAATAAAACTGTGATATTTTGATAGGTTCGGATGTAAAGAATAATTTAAGAAATTCAAAAAAAACCTACAAAAAATAAGGAGACCTGATTTTGATAATCTGCTTAAAAATTATGCCATACAATGTTTAAGTCAGACTAGCTCAGTTGATATATGCGTTAACTTAAACCCTATCGTTACTTTTTTTTAAGTCGGGGATCCACCTGGTACCACAATTTTAAAGTTTTATTTTTTCGCTTTTTCAAAGAATATTTTATTTTTTTTTTATAGACTTGTGCATTTTCTTTCAATTATCTATCCTTCTTGTATGCTCATACTTGATATAAGAAACCCTTAAGGATGTATTCTTGTGATACGCGGAAAAAAACGTGCATTAAACTTTTCAAATGCTTATATTTTTCTGAAAGTGTAATATCCAAGGAATAATTTAAAGACAAGAAAAATGTATGTTAGTGTTCATCTAAGAGAGGTTCAACCCTTTGAACATAGGCCAAAATAGAGCATGGGAAATTTCCT